CGGAAGAGCAGACGGATGCCTTGGGTGGGTGGAGGAAGAGTTGGACTTGTCAGGGCTGGTGTGGGTTTGAACCTCTCTTCATCAAAGACCGAAGCTGATCCTGATGTGGCAGGACGACGTTGGCTCAAGGGGCTGCAGTGTGACGTTTTATTTTTCATTTAATTTTTTTTTTAAAACTGGCCCTTGTTGGCTTTCGTCGTTTGAACCGTTTCTCTGTCTGTACCATTTCTGTAATGACTGCTTTGATATCTGATCGCCGAGCTTTGAGCTAAATCCTCTCTTACCTAGTCCCGTGGTTACGTGGTCTGAAGCTTGTGCTTTTGTGGTTGCCACCGAAGCAAAGTGAAGCTCCATCTCTCTGTTGTGGGGCTTGTCAGCGCTGAGCATGTGGTTTTCTTTTTCAAGTCTTTACCACAAAATCGCCACTTTTGGAGGTTATATAAAGAGGTGGGAGTTTGAAAATCCTTTGCCTTCTCTGAAAATAGCCGACATGGTACAAAAGGGTGGAGATTGCTGGAGTTGCCAGTACTGGTGCTCCAGGCAAAAAAGTTGTTGCATCCTCATTTGACCTCAGTTATCCTTACCTCACATCCCATTTGGAAGGCTGGGTCTAATTCACAAGTTTTCTTTCTTTCTTTCTTGCTGGACTTGGTTGTTTTTATTTTTTTTTGTGTAGGCTTCCGTGAGACTTTTAACTGCAGAGGAAAACTTTGAGCCGCACTCCCTGAACACGCTTGTCTGCTTTTTTTTTCCCTAGGTTCCTTAGAAAGAGAGCTTGGACGGCATGCAAAGTTGTGAAATATCTGCAGACAGCACGGATGATCCTCTTAGTAGTGGCCTACGGAGAAAACGACAGCCTCGAATAGTAATTATCGGTGCTGGGCTTGCGGGCCTGTCGGCAGCGAAAGCGCTCTTGGAAAGCGGTTTCACGGATGTAACTATCCTTGAGGCGACCGACCGAATCGGAGGCCGCGTGCAAAGCGTGAAACTTGGTAAGAGCGGCATTTTTTTGGGGAGGAACCTGTTGGGCTTGCTTTATTCTGCTGGCAAGGCTTTGTACTGTCGCTAGGTTAATGTGACCGTGGAAATGTGAGGTGGTTTTTATTTTTTTCCTTTTTTTTTTTTTTTTTTCTTCAGACACACACATGCAAAATGTGTGGTGTTCCCGGGACTATCAAGCCCTGGACCCCTTTCAGGGTTTGTGGGTTTGCTACCTCATCTAACTCTTTGGAGGGAGGACTGCTCCAAAACCGTATTTCTGTAAAATCCATATAGATGATGAGACCTTGGTGATGGTTTTTACTCGTGTGGGAAGAGCTCTGTGTAACGGGTCTGTGAGAAGCCTTCTCTGCTTGAATAACTGTATCGAGATGGTTTCCACCAGCGTTTTCAAGCTTGACTCTTGACGAGGAGCAGTCAGTAAATCTTCCAGCTAGTGAAGGGCTGATCTCAGCGACTTAAATCGCTTGCAAAGGGGCAAGCTCCGAGCTATTCTGTTTCACAAATAGCCCCATTCATTTGCCGCAGACTGATTTACTGTGAATCAGGCTGCTGGAAAAACCTCTTCAATGTATCCTTTCATCCTGATTTGCAGCTTCCCTACCTCTGTGGCTTCCTTTCTCCGTGTGTCACGAAGGTGCAGACGCCGGCTATTTTAATCTCATGTCAATTGGGAGGGCTTGTAAAATCTCTAAATGCAAAATTACTGCAACAGACGTTGCCCTTTGCGGCACAGCAGTCAATGAAACTTTACCAGGTATCTAGAAGGGCATTGCCTGTCTCTCTTCTCTGCAGGAGGCAAAAAGCTCTTTGCTTTTTCTGAGTTGCCTTCCTCATTTCAATGAACTAGTTCTGGTTCCGATCCTGCTCTCTGTATTCATTAACTTTGGCCTCTTGCTGCCCTCCTTTGTATTTTATTCGCCAGGTGCTTACATCACTTGCTGTATTTTACTCGATGAAGTTACCGCAGTAAATAAACAGCAACATCCTATGAACTTTTAGAAGGGAAATGAATGAAAAGGCAGTCGGACAAGGCGAATCTCCAGAGTTTGAGTCGGGCACTTTACGTTCCGCTGAGACTTGGCATCGAGGTTGGAATGGGAAGTGTGTCCTTTACTCACAATGCACTGTGTTAAAAATATCCTGGATTATGTCTGTGGGAGGAGGGAAGTGTTAAAGACCTGAAATCTTCAGGGAGCAGTGTATCGTTTTGGCAGTGCACCTGTGGAGTAGTTTTTGTTGTGCTCGAATGGAAACCGGCTTCTCTCACCTTTGGCCACCTTCGTCGCTTACTCGTCCCTTTGCCTTTGCTGGGAAGCTGCGTCCTGCTTGTTAACACTTGATTTGTGTGAGACAAGAGCAGGCTTTTCAGCCTGGTGGAGATCTTGCAGTTTGTAGATGTCACTGTTAATTGGAGAGCAGAAGACTGGGATTCAAAGTCTTTTTAATACATTTCTTAAAGCTACAAACTGTCTGCCTCGTCTTCTGCAAACTCAAAATTCTCCTGTGTGGGTAAGGACTGCAGTTCTCTCCCGAGGTGGGTCCGTGTTTAGGCCCTTTTGCAGATTCACGTGCCCTTTAACCAAATGATTTTAGAGCTCTTTTAGGTGGTAAAATCTTCAGAAGCAGCACGTACTCAGGTCTTTCTTATTCCCTGGTACGAGAGTGAAAGGGCAGCATGGTTCTGGGCTGTGTTTTCTTCTGGAAGTGGTTCTTAGGTTTTTTTCAACATACAACCATTCTGATGCACTTGTCTAAATGGCATTTAATGTTAAACTTCTCTGGCCACAACTCTGCACCCTTGACTGAAGATCTGAATTAAATCTTTGACAGACTTAGCGGTGGCCCCCTCTCGTGGTTTTATCCTGAGACTCCCACCCTCGCTGAGCCACGCCGTGACTCGCAGGCGACGGGATTTTTCCTCAGCTGCACAGAATACGTTGCCACTCAGTAAATAATTTGGATTTGCAGAGGTTTGGTTCATCATCTTTAGCACGAGTGCGGCGAAGGGTTTGTGGGCTCTGAGTGAGGCAGAGGGTTTGTGCATTTGTGGGCTGTAAATGTGTTCCTTGTCCATCACCTGTAACAGCTGTAGCCACTGCAGATGTTCCATGACAGGGTGCCCAAGGGGTAGTCGGGGCTGCAAAGGGAAGTGTAGGTGTTCCTCTGTGGATTTGGAAGGCTGGATACTCAATCTGTGCGTTCCTTTGGAAAAATTGCTGGTGTGGTGTTACTGCTGTTGGCTGCTCCTTGTTGTCGCGGGTTAGGGCTGGGGCGGCCGCTAAACACGGACAGACACTCTCTAACCCCTTCTCCCCCCAGATGGGAAGGAAAAGGGAATGAGGCAGAGAGACTTATGGGCTAGAAAAGAAAAACTAGAACAGCTTTAATGAAATAATACTGGAAATAATAGTGAAATGATAAAAATAAAGAACTATATACACCTATATATAAGCCCAACATTGAACCCGACCCCACCCCCGGTATCAGTCCCCAGTGGTGCTGCAGAGCAGGAGGCACCAGGGCAGCCCCAGGCTCAGCGGGAGCTGGATACAGGGAGCTGGATTCAGGAACTTGGGATCCAGATCAAAAGCAGGAGATTGCACGGAGCCCTCCCTGGACACCGGCCACTGCAGAAAAATAAGTGCAGAAACTCTCGTGATGACTGAATTTATAGTGACTATGACGTATACGGAATGGAACACTCTTGCTGGTCACTTGTCCGGTCTGTAACTCTGCAGAGGTGAAACCTTTTACTTCCTTGAGGTTGTTTTACTTTCCAGCACCCCCAGCGCGGCACACGAGCCAGCAGTGCCTGGGTCACTGTGGGAATCAGTATCAGCCAGAGCCTTTCTGCATCCCAGAGCCAGGCAGTGACTGTAACATCAGGTGTGATCACTGCCAGCGGCACACACTGTCTGCAAAACCACGCTGCTGCCTTCAGAGCGTGCAGCCTCTCAGAACTGAGCTGGAAAGTAAAAATCACTGAACAAAATTGATTCTTTTTAGCTCAAACCAGGACACTTGTGTTTCAGTAACTATACGCACAGAGTAGGAAGCAGATTTTTTTCTATTTTTTTTAATATTAGATGATTCATTCAAAGGAGATTAATATTGAAGCTAAAATCTTTGAAAGGCCCTGAAAGTAATTTTTTTTAAAAAATATGTTTTTTAATATTTCTAAATAATCTATCATGTAACTTGTACCACGGAACAACTGACTTATCTGCTTGGCAGTGATGATGGCAAGTTTCTGAGCATGACAGGCAAAAAGGACTATTTTTAATTCGTTGCTCAGCGATTATATTCCGCACGGCTGCTGAAAACGGGAGAGCTCGGAACACATTGCAGTTGTTACCGAGCACAAATGCAGCGGGACCTGTTGGCATATTTTATTTTATTTTATTTTCCTTTGGAGGAATAAACAAGATCTGTACACGGGGGGATTGTTAGCGCAGCGGAGAGCGAGCTCCTGCCGGAAAGCAGCCGGCGGTGTTCCTGCTGCTGGTGTGGCGGGTGACGACTCGCGGGCGGATACTCTTAACGAGGTGACTGCCACGTGCAGTATTTATGAGCTGTTGTACCTTTGGCTGCCAACGTGCAGCAGTCATTTCCGCCAGCCCGGGGAGCGCTGCGGCGTTTGCGGCACCTGAAATATTCACGCGTCGGTGACTCGGTGCCGCACGCTTCCCTTCCAGGCACACGGAGAAATCTTTCGCTCTCAAGCATGTATTTTGAAGGGCGGTCGGGATGCTCCTGGATGAAAAACAAGATACGTGGAGCTTCCCTTGGGAGCAGAAACTTGGCTGGAGAACAGCGTGTCTTGGAGCTTTCACCTGTTAAGCCGGGCTGCGTTACGGCACGATGGTGCCGTGTCTCCCTGCCTGAGCGTATATTTACATGTTAAACAATCTATGGCGACTGGTCACCACACGATCCTTGCTTCAACAAGCAGGATCCCATTAATTCTCCCACTTAATCAGGCGTTCACACACCTCTGCGGAGCGAATTGCACAGCGTTGGCTGGGCCGCTCGGGGAACACAGCTTCAACTTGGTGAAAATATGGGTGGGGGACATGAGCTGAGCTTATTTTTAGCACCTCCTTTCAGCTGCTGAACATCTCCCTGGGTTTACAGCCCTGGCGTGGCAGCGCTGGCTCCGGGGTGGTCAGAGCCCTGGGGCAAACCCAGTTTGCTGAAAGAAGGGAGAGAGCGGGGCTGACCCAAATGCATTTGGTGTTTCACCTGACCGTGCATCTTTGTCTAAAGAAGCTGACTTAAGTCTTCGGAGGCATAAATAAAAAATATAACCTATTTAGTCATTTGGGGAACAGAAATGTGTTTTGCTGTTGCAGTTAATGTGAAACATGTTTGTAAATAACACATTTTTAAGCACAAGGTTCAGCACGCAGGCCAGTGTTGCTGTCTCAGGGCAATCCAGTTTTTTTTTCCTCTGTATTTCCCTGCTGTAGATGCTTTTCTTCCTGCGTCTGTGTATCCATCCCCTCCTCTTGAGTACAGTGGATATTTCAAGTCTTTAGGTTCTCTATTATTTCCCTGCGACTTTAATATTTATGTAAGTATTCCTATACATCCTATATGTACCTGTGGCGTCTTACAGCTCTTTTCCTTCCCACACCCTCTTCACTAGCCCATGGCAGCACCAGCAGTACATTCTCTGCTTGCTTGTCACGTTCTTAAGCTCAGGTTTGGAGATGATGATTTAGAAAGACCAAGCAGCAAGGACAGAGCAGCTGGCAACGACAGTGATAAGAACTGGGAACCTGGGAGATTCTGAATTTTGCCTTAAGTATCAGAGGTGTGTCACTGTGATGTGTCTTTACTGGGAACATCCCGTCCTTCTAGCACTGTCTAAGCTTTTATCCTGAAGGACTGGTTTGAGAAACGCTTGTCTGATGGAGAAAGCTTGCTGCAGTGAGATTGTGACCTGTGGTGTCCTTGAACAGTTGTTCTGGTTTTGCGCATGTACGGTTTGTTTGGGGCTTTCGGAAAAATTGTCTTCCCTAACTGGTCTGCTTGGCTTACTCTGCTGCAGGGCACGCCACTTTTGAACTGGGAGCTACGTGGATTCATGGTTCACATGGAAACCCAGTCTATCATCTAGCAGAAGACAATGGTTTACTCGAAGAGACTACTGATGGCGAGAGAAGCGTTGGCCGGATCAGTCTTTACTCCAAGAATGGGGTGGCTTATCACCTTACCAACAACGGGCAAAGGATCCCGAAAGATGTGGTTGAAGAATTCAGTGATTTATACAACGAGGTTGGTATTCCAGCTGCTTGAGCAGCTTGTAGATTCGCCTGAAACGCTGGGTCCTTTTAACAGTTGTAACGTTCTGGTAGAAAACCAGTCATGTCTTTAAATTCTTTGCCAAACCCCCGCATTTAGTTTGCTCTCATCTGCGTAACTACAGCGCATTTATCTGTGATGTGGGATTAACTCGCTGTTGTTAGGAAGGACAATCTTTCCACATTTGTCATCAATTTAATCGCTCCCAGCAACTATCGCTGGGGAGATCCAATCGTTTGCTCTAGAAAGTTGCTGCTTAATTAAAAGGGTAAGGGAGGGCTCAAATTACTAAACAAAGTAGAACCTAAAACCTTAGCAACAACCAGCTAAATATTGTAGCCTTGTGACGTTTTATGGATGTTATAAATACCGTAGTGTGCTGCGTAGCGTGCCAAAGTCGGCGCAGTGTCGTAGGAGCTGCGAGTTTTCTTGCATCAGGAGGAAAGGAACATCTTTTCTGATAGGCTCAGTCCAGCGTGCGCTTGAATTTAAGGTTATTGACACTTCTTTTGTTCAATGTTCAGTGGTGCCCTCTTCAGTTCTTCATAGGTGGGGGCCTCAGCACGTCACAGAAGAGCCAACCAACTCACTGCAGATGTAGAACTGAAAAATATGAAGTAGAAACCTGCAAGGTGGAAATGAAAATGCAGGTTTAGTGGAGAGATCAAGCTTTGCTAAAAAAAAGCATTGAGCAGATTTTACACAAAAAAGGCCACATTTACTCTCATGTAACTTCGTGCTGCTGCAGCCACCCGGCTGTTTCTTGCAGAGGTTTCTCACTGGTTTGTGTGTTGAACACATTTGAAAGATGGGTATTAGCTCGATCTGCTTTCACTAAGAAGATTTGGCCTTAGCGGGATGAAGTGAAAGAAGGAGGCTTGCCAAAGCTGATTTTACTTATTCTCCACGAGTTTTTTTATGTCGCTTATGAAGTACATTTCAGGGAGGGTCAGTGCAGGATGTCTCTAGTCCTCCAAGTAACGTGATACCTCAGTAGGTTACCAAAAAAAGGAGGAAAACGTTATTTCCGTCAGACTGTCGCTAGATTTTCAGATTTTCATCTTGCAGTGAACTGTACCAGTGCTAAACACGCATGCTTGGGCTAAACATGCATTAGATTCGGCTTATTCTTGCATACTTTCTGTTTAAAAATATGCCTGTGAGCCACCAAGAGACAAGTTGTCAGCCTGCAAAAAGTTATCGAGAACTGATTGGGGAGCAGAAACTTTTTTGTTCGAAAGGACTGTTGCCGTCGTCCTGGCATCCGTTCTGGCACAGAGTCATTGCAGTTTTGGAGAAGAGTAGTAAGAATTTCGAAGAAGCCTCATGGTGGAAAGAAGTTAGCAACCCTTGACAGGGAGGGACTTCTTCTTGGACAAATGCAGGTGGACAAAATTGGCCAGAACAACTTTTATGTGTGACTGGATTGAAGATAGAACCAGCGCCAGCCAGGGAAAAAAAAAAAAAAAAAAGACAGGTGAGATGTGTGTGGAGCAAGATGAACAGACTAGAAAAGAGAGAGAGGGAGTAAGTGAAAATCCTGCAGTGAGCAGCGTTATTTATGTAAATGGAACCCTGCCAAACGGCACGCAGCGCTCGGAGATCATCCTGTCTCAAAGACGAAAGGCAAATCTCCAGCAAAGGGAGGGTGTCAGCAGCAGGCAGGCTCTGAAACGAGAATATGAAGATGAGAGCTACTTAGCTCTGAGATACAGCCGATAAAAGGCTACAGCAAGGTGCCAGTGTTTTAGAAATGATTAATTTGGTAAATCTATGCTTTCTTTTAAAGCGGGGGCAGCCGGTGACATGAGAGAACAACACATTAAAAGTTAATCTTCTTTACGCAACGCGTAATTAGCTTATCGTTGCCACAGGATATCTTTATTGCTAGGAGACGGAGAAGGCTTTCACATTTATGGATTGCAAAAATGTCTGTAGCTACTCTCGGTGATTAAAAAACATGTAAGGGATGGCTTAAGCCAAGCAGAGGACATCAGCCAACCTCTAATTGCTGTTGCTGGGGAGGTGCTTTCTCTGTTTTCCTTCAAAGCGTGCTGGAATTTCTTGCAGGAGCAGCTCATGGTTTTGTTGAGCTTCGTGTCCCGGCCTCTCAGCGGTGTCAGATTAGATGATCCTTAGTGATTTCAGACAGCTGACTGCGAGTTCTTCCCTGAAAAGTGGGAATTAAGGCGAGCTACGTAATCTCCTGAAGATCTCTGGTTAAAAAAGGATGAAATACAAGTGCCCCAGTGGGTGGGCAGTCAGGAGCACGTGCAGCAGGTGTGTGGCTTGCAGGATCTTCTCCTCCAGCGTAAGGTGCAGGCAACGTTCTGTTTACACACGCTGAGTCTACCTGAGACGTTTCTCTTTGGTGATTTGTGGAGTCCCCTCGCTCCTCCAGCACTTTCATTAGAGTCTGTTCCATCTTCTTTTCCGTCCTGGCTGGCTGTGCTGGGGAAGGACGGTGGGAATTCAATCTTGAGTTCCACATCTTTTTTTTTTTTCTTTATTGAGGAGGCAGGTTTTTGAGAGGAAATCTTGAAGTTGTGCAGGATGAAAAGCCATCGTACAGATCCCTAGATCCTGGGCTCAGTCTCCTTCGCTGCCTCATAGCTGCCTCCTTTAGAAGAGGGTGCAATAGCACAGGTTGGTCCCAACTTGAGAAATAAGAAAAAAAATAAATAAAACCACACTGAAACTATTCGGCAACCCCCTGATGGATGTGAAGCCTAATCGAGGACTGGCAGTAACAGTGGAAAATGCAGTGCTGAAAGAACGGGGCTGAATTTGTCAGGGTTTTTCAAGCACACTTGGGCTTGAGCGTGTGCCTCCTGCTCTCCTTCTCCACCTGTGGCTCTCGAGTCCCAGTGATCTTGGCGTCTGGACACCAAACCACAGGGGATGCAAAGCTCAGCGGGACTCCCTTGGGTGTTGCACCTGTGGAGTCGCTGAAGCCGGAGCCCAATGAGGTGAAACTTCACCCGTGTGCTGAATTTCCCTGGTGTGAAAGGCGAGGCACCCCCGTACCTCCCGAGCTTTGGCTCGCTGGTTCGTTTGGAAAGTCCTTATGCTTGTTTCTGGGCACTTGTCCAATCTTTTTTGGCTGGCTTCTTCTGCTTCATTACAAGTTTTTGCTGCTTTTTTGTTTGCAGTAGCCTGAATTTTTGATCGCTGTAGGGATTCCTCACAGAAGCCTTTATTTGGTTACAAGAAAGGCAGCGGTAAGAGTCCTCAGCTCTTCATTTCTGTAGCGGAAAGGTCCCTGTGAGAGGCTGCTGAGATGTCAGTCGAGCTGTTCTATCACGAGCTTGTGAGGGAGGGCACTGAATCCCCCTTCCTGAGGGCACTGAGAAAACTCGGCAACGCCTGTGGGGAAGGTCTCGAGTCCTGCAGGAGCAGCTACCTGGATTTCCAACCTCGTGTTGCCAAGTGATGCCCATGAGAGCGGGCGTTGAGCCTGCTGTTGGTGGGAGAGCTCGCCAGCCGCTGTCGTTTTAAGGCTGTCCTTCAAGTTGGGCAGGGCTGGCATCGCTCAGCCCCATCCTCAGTCCCTTTGCTCCCTCTCCCAAAGGAAGAGGGCCCTGGCATCAGAAGGTTCCCCAGGATATGATGTCCATGACACATATTTATAACCTTCCCACCTTCCTCTCCACCCCTGCTAGGATAATTAGGGGAATCCTGGGGCTTGGGAGGAGGATTTTGGTCTCTGTCTGCTTATACCATGTCTGTGTGACCCTCAGAAGAGGGACAGGAGTGTGACCTTTGAGTGGAACGTCTGCAGCTTTGGTGTCTGTGTGCATATAACTGCTGGGAAAACGTGACTTTGTACAGCCCAGCTCAAGAGCTGATCTTCTGTCCCTGCTAAATCCGCATTTTTTGCACCGAAGAGGCATTTAGGGCTAACTCCCAGGTGTTAGTGAAGGGTGTGAGGGAGGGGATGAGCTTGGCAAGTTAAATGCAGGTGAAAAAAAAATGGTAAAAAAATCACACTGGTTTGCCTGCTGAAGAATTTCACAGTCCATCAGCCAGCCTGATTTAGAAAAAAAACTGCTTATTTTTACTTAGGCTTTTCAGTAAGGATTTGGTCCCTAAAGACCTGCTTCACGGGAACCCTTGCTTGAACAGTCAGCTAATTAATGGCCTTGTTATCTGTGAGCTCTCTGCTGTGCGCTGCACAGCTTCTGGGGGAGGGATGCAGCCAGAGAATGACAAAGTTTTCCACCCTTCTCACCCCCGCCCTGTGCTGGGCTTCGTGCCAGCCCCAATTAAGCTCCAGTGCCTCGCGTTATCGTGGAAAGCAGGACCAAAGGGCCACCGAGAGTCACGGTTCCCTCCCTGCCCCTCTATTGCACTGACAGATGTCTGGCCTGGTAACAGCACAAACCTATCTCCTTCGGGGTTTTTTTTTATCGCCCGAGGATTAAGTCACTGCGGTTTTTAAGCCAAGCGAGAGGAAAAAGACAATGCTACGGATCGTCACCGGCGCGGACAGGAAGGAGCGTGGATTGGGATGTGCTTTCCTGACCTCCTTCAGGGCTGAGAAACTTCTTTATTTAGGTTTGCTCTTCCTAAGAGGCTGCCTCTTCCTGTGGTGGAGGAGCACGTATATCGTAAAAACGGGTAGGTGGAAGCCTGGAGGTAACAGAGGGGACAGCCATGGTCTCTGCAGAGACCCCGGTAGGGCAGAAAGAAGACAGAAGACATAAACCAAAAATGAAGCCAAAATGGCCATGCAATTCACACTTTTTTAATTTCTGACCTCCAGCCTCATTTCCCTGCAGGGTTGTATGTGAACCCTCTGAACAAGGGAAGGAAATCTGCTTAGAATAAATAGTCTTTTGCGACATTCTGTGTATTTTGCTTCTGCTGATGGTTCTTGCAGACAGATTTCTGAGGTCAGTTGTTCTGCCCAAACTCAGAGGGTGAGAAATGATTAGGTGCTTCTACTGGGATGTGAGTTTGCCAGTGGTAGGAGCTGGGAGCTGATACAGTCTGTTCTTTTTTTTTTTTCTTTTTTTTTTTCCCCTTCCTCCTTGTATCAGGTTTGTGATAACAGAAAGGGTAGATGAGTCTGGACTGTACCCGGTGTATCTCTCCTACTGATGGGCTCAGACACACGGATAATTTGGATAATTTGGAGGGTTCACCAGAAAATCGGCAGAATCTTTCAGGTTGTTCTTGATGCTGCCTTTTTGACAGGATCTTTGAGAGAAAGCCCACTTGAACTCTGACAGGAACCCTTCTGTCATCGCTTCGTGGTGGAATATTTGAAGGAGAATCTGTTTTCAAATCTCACAAATCCCTGTTCTCGGTGACCTCAGAGCTGGTCCCATATACACGATGATGGTTTCTGTTATTATGAGCAGCTTCCCCTGGAGAAGGAAACTCCAGGCATTAAGAAATCTACCTTAAATGGGACTTTTCCGTAGGTTCTTATGTGGTATTTTTTTGCTGCACGTGTACATTTTGAGCATCTTTTCTGAGTCTTTCGTTATGACAACGGACTTGCTGTTGTTTCTCCTCTTGCTTCTTCTTCTTTCTTGCCTTCTGTCTTCATCAAATGCTTTAGTGCCCCCAAGAAGAAAAAAAAGAGGAAATATCAGGCATTCTGAGCGAAAAAAGAGATAAATCCTGATGGTGATTATGCTTCCCTGCTGCCCCATCAATGGGATGACATAGATAGGACTTGACTCGACGTTTGCGGCGCAGAGCGCCCTGCCTTTCTGCTCTCCTCTCCGTTGGGCGACGAAGAAGACAATGGTTAATAAAAACATCCCCGTGGCTCGCTTAGCCTTTTGGCCAAATGGCAGCCGGGTTTTAACACAGCTTTGCTTGTCCTGTGAGCGCGTTAGCTGCTTAGAGCGCGCAATCGGCTTATGAAAGCTGAGCTGCGTTTCGCTGACGCAAGGTCTGCGCGGCTCGCGGCTTGCTGGAAGTGGTTTGCGCCTCGCAAAGCGGCGGGCCCGAGGCCCGTGGGGTGTTGAAACTGCCAGAGAGCTTTTGGCATCGGGGAACAGAGAAGACGCTGGTTCCTTTCCTCTGCAGGAAGCCTTCATTTCTTGTAGGGGTTGGTTTTTGCCTTTCTTGTCTGGAAATCTCCTTGGAAAGGCTGCATCTCAGTCAGTGTCTGCAAATCTCTCCTTTACCAGTTCCACTCATTTTTCTGGTGATTATTTCTTTGGTTTTGTACATTTTCCCATTTTTTTCACTCTTTCACTTACTCAGTTTCCTCCTTATTTATCTACTCATCTTTCTCCATTCACTCCTACCGCTCCTATGCAGTTTTCTCTCACCACCTCCCTTTCCTCGTCATCCCTCTATTTTGCCTCCTGAAATTCACTTTATTCGTAAAACCCAAGAGGAAAAAAACAAGCTTCTGGAGAGAATTGGAGTGGGAACATGGGGACTTAGCCACATCAGCAGAAAATGGGAAGCTCTAGGAGCCTTTGAAGGAGAAGCTACCACAGTTCTGCTAGCTTCCCACCAGGCATTAACTTCTGAGTTGAACTTCTTGTTGTGTCTGAAGGATCTACCTCCAAAGAAAAGGTCATGAATTGTAATCAAACCATCTTTGTCAGGAAAAGCTTGCCAAGCAGGGATTTTGCCTGTCTGCTTATGAAAATATTGTGCACCTCTGTGAAATGACAAAGTGACTCATCCTGGACAAACAGGTCATTAATGGGATGAGTTGTGCTTCTGGGAGGCATGTTTTAAAAGCTTTCCTATGTTAAAAGATTCCTCAGAGATTTTTTTTTTATTTTTTTCCATGGAAATGGAGGGCTGTGATTCAACTTGCCGGCTCTTCTGGCAACGTTACAGACAGAAGGACTGATTGCTCCAGACAGCCCCGAACAGATGGCCAAGGTGGATGGCTGTTTTCTTGCTTCTAAGTAGCTTCTACTGTGGAAAAGTGGATTTGAAAAAAAAAAAATAATGGTCAGATGAGGGGGTTTGTTGTGAGTCTTTCTCAGGCTGATTGCTGGTGGGGCTGCTAAGGACGGCTCTGTACCTGTCTTGTGCTCAGCGAGTAAAACGAGTGTGCCTACCACATTCCCTTGCTAAGCCTGTGTCAGCTGCTTCCTATTTTTCAGGGAACCACAGAAGAGTAACTATGAAACTGAATTCCCACATCCTAGCGAATTCCTGGGCTTTATTGCTAAATAACAACAATGGTGTGACTGGAAGGGCTGGTGCCAGGTTAGAGTGAGCTCTGCAACCTGAGGAAGGTTTTAGAGACAGAGTCGGCGCCTGAGGCATCCCAGTGGGAAAAGAACTGGTCCCTTATTGCCAGAAGCGTGGAAGGACATGGGTCACAGAATCACAGAATGTTTGGGGTTGGAAGGAACCTCGAAAGATCTCCCAGTCCAACCCCCTGCCAGAGCAGGATCCCCCAGGGCAGCCCCACAGGAACGTGTCCAGGCGGGTTGGAAAGTCTCCAGAGCAGGAGACTCCACACCCTCTCTGGGCAGCCTGGGCCAGGGCTCCGGCACCCGCACAGTGAAAACATTTTTCCTCTTGCTGCTTGAGTTTGCTCCCTGTAGACCTGGGATGGAGGCAGGGGCTAAGTCAGGCTGTGACTCTGCTCAGCAGAGGCTGAAATTCTGTGTGGCAAACCCAAGCCTGCTCTGTAGAGGTGCTCTGTGCTCTGATTCTTCTTCCAACGTCTATAAACAGCGGGTCAAAACCAGGCTTTAGCTACTGAAAATGGCAGGACTGCCTCACTCAGTCTTCTGCAAGTGATAGACCAGGCATGCTGGAGTGAAAAAAGTAATATTAATTGTAACTTGGTGACTTAATAGTAACTAGACTGGTGCAGGTGAGTAAGGGTGGTTCTCTTTGCCTGGAGGGAAGTGTTGCTCCTTGCTGTCTGGGTGCAACTTGATGTGGTGCTGGAGCAGAGCAGGCAATAAACTGCCAAAACTGATCTCTAAATTTAGCAAGAGAAGGAGACCTGAGCGTGATGGGTTTGTGTGGAGGGAAGAGCACCCTGCTTGGGGCTTGCATTCTGCTGCGGGTCACGTTGTCCATCGTTCTGTGTTGTCTCTCTGGCAGGTCTATAACCTGACTCAAGAATTCTTCCAACGAGGTAAACCAGTCAATGCCGAGAGCCAGAACAGTGTGGGCGTCTTCACACGGGACGTCGTGCGCAAACGAGTCAAGGCCGATCCGGATGACACGGAGGCCGTCAAGAGGCTGAAACTAGCCATGATCCAGCAGTACCTTAAGGTGTGCGTGCACATCATTGCTTGGGTTCTTTTGTTTTGTTTTTTTTGTCTTGTTTTAACTAAGAGCAGACAGATCTCGAACCTCAGACACCCGGCTGAGCCTTGCCTGTCGCCGAGGACTTGCTTTCTGTGGTCTCCTGCAGCTGGGGCTGTTTGTGTTTGTATTGAGAGCTTTTTCTCATGAGGCATATCCAAAGACAGCGGGCTGCAAGAAATAATGCCTTTTCTCTTCGTATTTTTTCTTCTTCATGCCTTAAACTTCCAGCTTTCTAATTAGGAGGGGCTTTCCTAGTTCCTGTTAAATTTTCTGGTGTGATTGAATGTTTTCTTACCACCTGAAGCTACTCTATTTTCAGGTTTTTCAGTAACATCTTGTCTTGTGCCTTACACCTGGGGCCCCATGATCCTGCCTGAGAGTTGTTTACTCACTTCTGCCTCCATCATTATCTCAGAGACCAGAAGTGTAACTTTGATTCTAGTAATTTCCCAAAGAAATCCCTAGAGAGCATTTTGAAGGAAAAGTGTTGAAATCAATGATGGATTGTACAAATCCATGTCCTAATCGTCTTTCCTGGTGGCTTCCCTGGTTCTTTTTATCTCCTCAATGCCACAGCCTAAACAAGATCTCTGTGGGATGAGGACTTAGTGCTGTATCAAGTAAAGCGTAACAGTCATTCCTATTTCAATTATAATGACTTAAAGGCTTATGAAGGGAGGCAGGGGAGGCAAGCAGCGCTCTGGGATGGGGGTAAGTGTGTGGTATTCACTCTTTACATATAGGAGGCTGAAACAAAGAGAAATAAAGGCATAAGGAGTCACACAGGAGAAATGTGATGAAGCTGAGATTTGAACCCAGGCATCCTGAGCGCTGTTCTGGTACCTCAGTGTCCTAACCCGAAAGCTTCTATCGCAGGACACCTCCACAACTCCCACGTGAAGACTGGTTCTTGTGTTACCCATCTAACATCGCCCGTGCAGGCGGTTTTAGTCATTTGACGTAGCTCTGCTTTTCCTGGTGGTTATTTCTGTGGCTGCTACAGGTTGCCCCAGCCAGAGCCTTTTCTGCAAGTCTTGCAAATCCCCTTCTCATGTGTAAATACCTGAGAACAACAAAGCCTCTGATACTTAAGGCTATCAGATCAGTGAGTGCTGAGAGAGTGGGGATTAGCTGGTGTCTCAGGCAAGCTGTAGCCTTGGTTTTCCTCCCTGCCATTTTTCCTTCATGGCTGAAAGAATCCAATAGCTGTCACTGTTTGTTACCTTCGTAAACTTGAGGGTCCTGCTGGAGCATCCAGGGAGGATGAGCGGCCCGTTGTGTGACCTGAGGTGTGGGATTGGTGGTGTGGGCCGACAGAACTGACGCTGAGGGAGTGCTGGAAAGTGCTCGCTCAGCCCTTGGGGAGGGTGGCACCACAGCAGACTCGGAGGATAGGTCTTCTTCAAGACCTAACTGCTGGCAGCCTGGCCAAGTAGTTGTGCCTGCTCTGTCCTCACTGGAGTCACTGGGCGATGACGGGGAAGGGGCAACCAGTTTTTTGCCAGTACAGTCCCTGGAGCAGCCTAGAAACTATTTAGTACAACTTTGACTTGTTTGCTTCACCTTCTAGCCCAGCACAGATTCCTGTCCTGAACCAGGATGCTCTGCAGGGAGAGGCTCTAGGCTTGCCAGGTTTCCAAACAGGGTCACTAAAATGTGGAAAGGCCTGGAAAATTGGCCAAAGGGTCAGGCAGGGAGCTGTAATGTTCCCTTTGCCTAAAATGCCTGAAGAATTAGTGTTCAAATCATTGTGACTCCGGTGATTTGAGCATTTTAAAGATCATTGTGTCCTGTGCATCAGTATCAGCATTAGAAACTTTATCACAAGACGGGCCAAACATCCTGCCTTTGTTCCAGGGGTTGTTGGAAGCTGCAGCCATGCCTAATACTCCTGCAAACATTAACCAACAGGTCCCAAATCTAAAGCTTTGATAATCCCGTCAAGTGCAAACGTCTCACATCTCGGCATTTTCCTTTTCTGTCTCCTTCCGTTCCTTCTGCGCTGGGTCCTCTCGCCTCCAGCAGACTGTTGGCTTGCCGCTTGCTGACTGTTTGACAGCACATTGAAAGCTGCAGATGTCGGAAGTAGCTGCCAAAAGTTTTTCATGGCTCCTCGTGGAAACATTTATTAACATTGGGAACAGCATCTGATTAACATGGCTCCAGCTTCTGTTGTCGGAGCACCAAGCAGCCAGCTCCTGGTGGCTGGAGTTTTAAATGATGGAAAGATAGAAGTTTTAAAGGATAGAAAACAGTCAGAACTGTAACCCAGAGTCATGCAGAAGTGAAGACATCATCATTGAACTCTGGATGATGCAACCATGGATGATGCAGCCGAAGCTGAGGCAGCTTATGACCATGACGAAATGATTTCTCTGGTTGGAAGGAAGGCTAAGGATTGATTTTGTCAGATCCTATGGCCAAACAGTTCTTTACTAGGAAAAATAATGTGGTTTAAGAGTGAGATTCAGGACTCCCGGCTTGTGCAGCTCCTTTGAGCCTTTGCAACGTTGTGCTGTAGTAAAAGGAGTTTCTCTGTGGCAATGTTGCTTTTTGTGTTGCTTTCCTGTAGGTAGAGAGTTGTGAGAGCAGCTCCCACAGCATGGATGAAGTCTCGCTCAGTGAATTTGGGGAATGGACCGAAATCCCTGGGGCTCATCACGTCATTCCTTGCGGTTTCATTAAAATCGTGGAGATTTTGGCCCGCTCCATTCCCGAGTCTGTCATTCAGCTCCGCAAGCCAGTCAAATGCATCCACTGGAACCAGTCGGTCAGCAAGGAGATTGAGAGGGTGGCTGACCACAACAGTGACCTCCCCGAGGAGGACAAGGGCTCTGATGTCTTCGTAGAGTGCGAGGACTGTGAGTTCATCCCAGCTGACCACGTCATTGTGACTGTGTCCCTGGGAGTCTTGAAGAAACGCCACGAGAGCCTGTTTCATCCCCGCTTGCCCGAGGAGAAGGTGATGGCCATCGAGAAACTGGGGATCAATACAACCGACAAGATTTTCCTGGAGTTTGAAGAGCCTTTTTGGAGCTCCGAATGCAACAGCATCCAGTTTGTCTGGGAAGATGAGGCGGAGAGTGAGAGCTTGACTTACCCTGAGGATCTGTGGTACAAGAAGATCTGCAGCTTCGACGTACTCTACCCACCGGAGAGGTATGGCCATGTCCTGAGTGGCTGGATCTGTGGAGAAGAGGCTTTGATTATGGAGAAGTGCGATGACGAGACGGTGGCAGAAACCTGCACCGAAATGCTCCGTAAATTTACAGGTCAGCTGTGCTCTGGTTCCTTTGGTGGGTGGAGATGAGAGGGAGAGCGGGGCTGGGGTGTTGAATAACCGCCGGGACGGAAACGCACTGAAGTCATTTTTAGCTCTTTGGCATTTGATGTCGCTTTGAAGGGACGGTGCGTGTGCTTCCAGCCGTGCCTCCTGCTGGGGTGTGCCTGAAAGCTGTTTATGCAGAGGGGCTGATAAGCAGCTCGGGAAGCTGCTCGAGGATTCCGCATCCTCTGCTTTATTTAATCGCAAATAACTCTTCAGCAGCTGGAGCTGTCAGGTACAGCAGCTCCTGAGGACTCATCTCAGCTGGGAAATTGTAGAGCGAGAGGGCTTGAACCCGTTTAGACCAGCTGAGGGGGTTGAATTGCATCCCTGGCTTATGTGAGGCTACATGGAAGTCTCATTGGCCTAAATTTCAAAGAATCCATTGATGTTGAAAGTCCCCATTTTTTGGGTACCTCACTTTAAATTTCCTAGATTTCACAGATTTCCCCTTTACTGTTCACAGGCCACATTAAAGGCAGCAGTTGGAGCAAGACAGATCTCAGGTGTGTTACACTGAGAAAATCCAACATGAAATCACAAGGAGTAAGGGTACTTAATCTTGCTGCACCTTTGTCTGCAGTCACTTCTCTGGAGGTTGCACACCCTCCCAAGAGAAAGGCTTTTTATATCTGTGGAGGTCTTTGAGATCCTGATGGAAGACACTGTCCAAGCACACACATAAGGTAGTAATGCTGAAAGAAATAGTGGTTGACTCGTTGGCAATCTTGAATTAAAGATTCTGAATTTATATCTAATTATAAGCAAGTATAAGAGCAGGATCCTCCAAGATCAGATGTATTTGTGCTATTCTAGAGATGGGTCCTGTGATTAAGCTCTTGATGTCTTCCTGGCAGCTCATGTAAGCCAAATCTCAATACCCAGTGGGTTTCCAGCCTTACCTCTTGTCCACAGACCTCCAATCAACTGGAGAAATTTGCCTTCACAAGCGTAGCTTGTGTAGAGGAGGAATCGGTGAACGCTCAACTCGAGGCAGCTCCTGCCTCCCGAGCTGTTTGTTTTCCGTGGTGTTGGGTATCCCCACGTTGGGTTGCGACACATACGTGTCGTCTGATCTCAGCAGGGCAACTGCAGCTCCACGCAGGCGTAGCAGGAGGCTCTTTAAGGCCACGTCCTTCCGTTGCTGGCGTCTCACAGAGCATATAAACAACCTCGTTTGCTGCAGCTCTCTTGCTTAAGACCTCTTTTTTTTTAAAAAAAACCCCAATAATTAAAAAAACCCAAACAGCTTTGTTCATCAGTGGGAATTTGGCTCTTTGGGTCTTTCTTAGAGGGAGAGTTTACTCTCATCTGGCAAACTTCCTTCTTGGGCTCCTTCACTATTATTGTTACTGGCGTGCGTTGGATGTTCCTCCGTTCCTCCCAGGATGGAAATCTGTTGGCGCTGGGTCATCGGTATGTGCTGCAGTTGCTCTTCCAGCTGATGCTGCACCTGGTCACTGTCCGTCAGCCTCTTCAGCACTGTGAGCTCTGTCTCAGCCCTCTGCTAATCTTGGCCTGTCAAACCCCGGAGAATTTCAGACTGAGTTTCCCAGCACCTTGCCCTGCAACAAACATTTGTCCAAACATCGCTGCTCAGAACTGCAAGAAGAAAACCTTTTCTTGGAGGACCCATTCCACAACGTGACCTGTTCTACTTTTTGTTGCCCCAAAAGCTTGTTAGCTTGTAGAAAACCTTTTCGCAGATCTTCCAGGTTGGCCTTGCTAAGGGAGCTGGGTTTATCCTTTTATTCTTGCTTTTGTTTTCCCGAGCAGGTTCACAGAAGCAACAATACATCAAAGCTCATCTGGACCAGGTGCCAGATGGGCTGATATAACAGAGGCAGCCTCAGCTCTCCATGCACCTACTGTTTTCCTCACTAACCTGTTTTGCTGGGAGAGTGGGTTGGACCAGCTCGGGGGTCAAAATAGCTTTTCCCTCTGTGATCTAACTGTAGTCGTTTCTGGAAATGACTGGGCTCCCCTGGCCCAATTAGCACCAGCAAACCTGGATTTTAAAGGTTTTCCCAGCACCCACCTTCATATAAGTCAGCTAACGGAGCTGGAAAGCTCATCCTTCTAGGATCTTAAGCTCAGTGGAATGAATGGCTCTTCTGTAAGGCACTTCAGATCTTCCAGACCTCACTTGGTGCTCTGTGACATCTTCTGAAGAAGCTTTTCTCTACTGAGTATAGAGAGGCCGTTGTATTCCGTAATGAAAGGAGGTAGCGGGAGCCTTTTAATGTTCCCTTTGCCTTTTGTAGCTTTCGTGCTCTGGTTATAAACCCTCCAGTGTTCTTATTTCTTACTCTGTTAAAAGACTGAATGCATTACCTGGTGGGTTTCCATCTTCAGATGTGTTTTCCCAGTCTGTTACTCGTGGAGACTTTGCCTTCAGAGCATGTTAGACCAGTCCTGTGTTCGAACTATTCTTTTACACTCGGTGTTAACTTCACATGGAGAATTTCTCTCTGAGATGAGTTGATCTGCCTCCGTGACCTTAGATTTCACGTGCAGGTTAGTGTTGTGGCTTATCTGGCTTTGCTGTGAAAAGCTCCGAGGATTCTTCTAACCTAAGAACCATTGACTGGTGCTTTTCACAACTGGACAGCTGAAAAGCAGCATCCTCTAAATCTGATTAAATGGGACGCCTTCGAACAATTGGAAATCTTGCTCTGCTTTCTTCGTTGGCTAAGCTCCGAGGGTTAGAAGCCAGAAGGAATAATTACAGGTCTGCTCCCCTCTGAAGGACTCTCTGACTTGTCAAGCTGTGGCTAGAGATGCCCTGAGTTGTCCTCCCTGTCCTCCAGCTATTTTTCTAGAGGGGAACAGATCTCTTTCAGTTCTGCATCACATATGCCAGCCCCAGGTAGGTGCCTGGGATACCCCGACACCCCTCCGTAGACCTGGGTAGTACCACAGATCTCTGTTGGCCTTCATGGGGTCTTAGATACTCCGCTCTCAGGTCAGCAGCTGAGTTGGGGTGTCTTTATTTAGATTTGTGAGTTGGTTTTATGATAATCTTGTGTCTCATAATCAGCCCATAAACAAAAAATCTGTTGAAAACCGTTATCTAACTCTGCCAGGCCCACTTCTAAACCATGTCCCTGAGCACCGCATCTAGACGGCTTTATAACACATCCAGGGATGGTGATTCAACCACTGCCCTGGGCAGCCTGGTCCAGTCCTTGATAACCCTTTAGTTCCCAGTAGTTGAACAAAGACAGGATTGTTTGAGTCACATGGAGTTATCTTGTGTAACTCCACAAGTGGAAATCTGTGGCATTAAGATATAGACCCTCCTATTTTGCTGAAGGCTAGGAACCTTTTTTGGCTGTTTTAGCTCTCTTTGAACAGTGGAAACTTAGAAATTGCTTTTATCTGTAGGCAAAGGCACGTGTTTAGCCATCTATGTAAAAGCAGATCGAGAAAGTACAATTAAATACGTTCCTTGAACGAGTGTGGCCCTCTTGGTCTTTGTAGTTTCTGTCTTGCAAACAGTGTTTCAGGATCAGAGCTTGTGTTATCCTGACCTGCTTGCACAGGCGGTACAAGGTCATAGAATCACAGAATGTTGGGTTTGGAAG